TTCTCTGTTTGGCTTAGTTTTTCGGATCTTTGTTGTGGAGGGACGGCGTGGTGCTTCTGCCTAGACCGCCATCTTGCCGGAGACCTCGCTATTTTATTTTTTGATGATTCTGTTACAGTTCTTTTACAGGATTCAGCTCTTACTTTTTCTAGTAACTATTTTTAATCTTGTATCATCAAAATTATTCTACTGAGTCATATCTGGAAAACTTTTGACTGAGGCTAGCAGAAGTAAGCACTGTGTAAAACATTAAAATTGGAGCTTGTAGAATTTTTCTGCTGAATGTTTTAGGATGTCTGCCTGACCTGTACTATTAAGAAGTTTAATGTTTAATTCTGAATTAAATTGTCACATAATTGATCCGATAGTAATGTTGAATAGCAACATTTTGATCACATATTATGTGGATGAAAGTTTTGTGCTGCTAAACACCACAAAAAAACTGCAGTTAAAAAAGCTGCCTTTCCTGGGAATATAAACTTCTGAATTTTCTTGTCTTCCTAAAAAGATCAGAAGTGACTGTGTTTTCCTTGGAAGTAATGCTGTTTCTTGAATTATTTCTGTGTGGTTTCGAGTTGATTGCATTTAGCTCTACCTGTTAATTTACAGCCTAGCAGAATTGCTTTAAATAGTCCAGCTTTGCTTCATAATATTAATGACAAATGTATAAGATATGAAAAGTGGGACAATTCCAGTGGCATTTCATTTAATGAAATGAGTACTTTTTAACCTTTTACTTACTGTGATAGGCACTGAGGTGTTCTATAAATTTGCTCATTCCGTCGTCATAGCTCCCTAATGACTGTGTCCTCTAATAAATAATATGGGTCACAGGGCAGATTTCGTCAATATTTCTTAGCTAGCACATTTATTCAAGGGTGTACGAAGCCAGTTAAGCAAAGAGAAACCTAACATGGGATGTAATAAATGTTTGTTTCAGTTTATATTGGGGTCATCATGCTTTTATCATACAGTGCGACCGGTCATCTTGTCTCAGTTTGTATTAAAAGTTGACAGTAGTTTGAGGCCGTTACATGGATGAGAAAAAGAGAAAGTGAAGCCAAGCTTTCTTCCTCTTATTCCTAGTCTTGGGGTCACTGAAAGCTGCCAGTAGTTGGGTGGATATCTTTGGGGGCTTCTCATTACCGTATACGTTGTTCAGAGTCTTAAGAAGATAGAAATTTGATCCAGCGTATCAGTTTGATTCAGAGAACATTTGAGTGTTCTAATCTAGCAGTTTTATAAAATATATCATTTTATTTAATGAATCCCTTTCCCATATCCCTAAAGTCATAATCATGCTAATATGCAGTAAGGTTGAAATTTGAATGAGAACACATGTAGTCTCTTATTCTTATTTCTTACCATCCTGCCTAGTGGTTATTTTTTTAGGTAGAACTTTAATGAAGCTATATTCTTGTTTCTTTTTTTATTTTCTTCTTACCAAATCCTGGTGCTTTACAGAAGCAACATCTACCTGTTTTCACTTCTAAATATCATTTAAACAAATTCAAAGTAGATCATTACAACCTTAGTTATCACTTGATATTAATATTTTTTCAATAACATGAACATTTTTACTTCTATTTGCCGTCTTTTTAATATATGTTAAGTTTGCTGGGGTTTTTTTTCCACCCTAAAAGTTGTCAAGAATCAGTAAGTCAACCACCTCGTTGTACTTGGAGTTATAAAACTTGAGGGCTAAAGTCAGGAATCAAGAGGGCAGAGGCTGCACAGGATACTAGCCCCAAATCAGTCTTTACTGAGGGGAAGGAGGCAAGGTCTCATCAGGGGGTCTAGAGTTATCTCTCAGAACCATAAAATTTAAGATCCAGAGGTAAGCAGAGTGAGAGCTAGGGGATAAGACTTGAACCAAAGACTTAAAGCCATCCCAAAATCAAACTATAGTTAGGAGCCAGAGTGGAAAGAGGACAAAGATGGTAACTTGTTAAAGGTAGGATGCCAGACCTCCTTAGTAGATTAACATAAACCCACAAAAGACGATTTCACCTCGGGAACCACCTAGGCCTGAGCAGGGCAGCCCTGTTCAGTTGTGCTCGCTGTGCAGTGCACACCTGATAGCCAGCTGCACACGGCAGCCCAGACCTGAGTGCATAGAAGGTGGTGGGGAAAGCAGCCAACTTGGATAACATCTGTAAGATATTGAAGATGCTACCCAAAGCTTTATGGTTACTCAGAATGAGGATGGAGCCAGTCAAACCTATACTCTGTATGTGCAGCGGAACTTTATAGAAAGAACAGGAACTCTTTCTTAGTAGCACATCTCATAGAATAAGAACCTACTTGCCAGGAGTGTTAAATGGAGATTATTGTGTAGTAATTCTCCCTGCCCCTGTTACCATCCCCCAAACCCATAGTTTAAAAATTGGTGAAAAGTTTATTGACTAAAGTTTTATCATATTTTTATGCAAGTAATGCACACCTTCTACATATTTTTACCCAACGCTCCTTCCTCCCGTGAGGTATTTTCATAACTTCCATATGCTAATTTTTTTACAGCAGCACATTAAAAATAATTGGCATAAACGGTGCTTGTGAAAATACATTGTAGGAGGAGGGAGCAATTGGCAAACAAATGTAGAAGACATGCATTGTTTACATAAAAATATGGTAATTTTAAAATTATTTGATCAGTTATGTGAATACTTTTAAGCATTGTTTAAACTATTTGGATTATTATCCTGTTTGAAGAGTCTTTTTCTTTTTCTCCCTCCTGGTTAGGGTTTTGCCACTTTAATCCGAGAATGGCCTGGAGATCTGTACAACAATTCAGTAATAGTTCAAGCTGTTCGGGATCACCTGAAGAAAGACAGTCAAAACAGGACTTTACTTAAAACCCTGGCAGAATTGTGAGTATATTTTAGTGCTGCTTTTTCCAAATCAGTATCCATCAAAACTTTTTCATATTTTAGGTTTGGCAAACTCTGAATGGGGAGCAGAGTCCCTGGGTGGTGCACATGCTTAATGCATTCGGCTGTTAACTAAAAGGTTGGTGGTTCAAGTCCACCAGAGGTGTCTCGGAAGAAAGGCCTGGTGATCTCCTTCCAAAAACTCAGCCATTGAAAACCTTATGGAGTACAGTTCTACTCTGACACACATGGGGTCACCATGAGTTGAAGTCGACTCAACAACAAATGGTGGTGGTGGATTGAGGAGATGTAGGCGGAAGCCTTTTATACCTGAATGTAGTCTTAATAAAAACCTTTTATAAACCTCAACTGAACAACTGAAAAGTAAGGAAAAGGTATGAAGCTGTACTGTTGGCATAATCTGTTTCCCAGAGGAAAGGAACTCCATAACTGCACTTGGTAGAGACTGTGTGGTCAGGGAGGGAAGCTGGACAGTTCTTAGGTCACTCATGCAAAAGAATTTCCCAGGGGGCGAGGCTCTGTGTTGTTGTTCTTGCCTCTGCAAATCATCTCAAACCTCAAATTCCTTATGTATAAACTTATAGGTGACAGTTTCTTTACTGTGATTATTTTAAGGTATAAATAAAATATCATCAGAGAGATGCACAGTGCCTGGCACTGTGTCAGGGCTTAGAAAATAGAAACTGTGGTTAATATTTTCCATATTTATTGGGCACTTTCAGTGACTCAAGCTTTGTGCCAAAATACATTTCCACCCTCAAGGAGCCTTTGTCTAGTGAAACAAGAAGTGTACTGCAGATATACTCAAGAAGAATACTTTGCATCAGCCCTTCTCTGCACTCCCACCAACTCAGACCACCCTGTCTCCCATCTTCCTACTTTTTTGCCCAAGACCAAGAAACTTACATCAGAATGACCTAGAATTCAGGACTGTGTAAGACTTTTGATGGTGAATTGTGCTTATAGCATTCTAAGTTGGAGTGCTGATCATTGTCTCACGGAAACATTGTTCTACGTGTTCTTTGGATTTAATAGTCCTGCTAATAGTGCACTTACAGTGCAATCTAAATTGAGTGAGCTTCAAGGAACTGGCTTAGGGACTTAATCAATGTAAAAATGTTTCAACAGAAAAACACATTTCAGTTTTATTCAGCTGCCTTACAAATAAACTTTTAGAATATAACCCATTTGCTAGCTGAACCTTGCTTGTAAGAATTTTTACTGATTTTTCTATTGCTGGAATAAGAATTTCTTTCTTTCTGGATCATAATTTCTTTCTAGTGTATGGATTTCTGCAAAACAAAAACTGAGGTGGAGGCACCAATAATGTCAATTTTTATTACTTGGGTTTTATAAATTTTCAAAACTCTGGGTGAGATGTGAGGCAAGGTTCTGAGAAAGAAATACTTGGTGGTCATATATAGTTAAATCCCAAGGAATATTTTTCTAAATAGAGTTAATTTTTCTCTCTAAAACAGGCTTTTTGGTTTTTAATCTTGTAAAACATGATCTGTGTGTATGTGTGTTTGTCTTTTATTGGAACTGTTGATGAACAGTAATGTAAAAAATTTTGTATTACCAGATACACCTATGACAAAAACTATGGCAATGCTCTGGAAATATACTTAACATTAAGACATAAAGACGTTTTCCAGTTGATCCATAAGCATAATCTTTTCAGTTCTATCAAGGATAAAATCGTTCTATTAATGGATTTTGATTCAGAGGTAATGTGTTTCTTATTTTAATACTAACAAATTATTTTTACTAGTTCAAATTTTAATAAATAGACATCCATATAAATGGTGGATTGGGTAGTGGATCACATAGCTTGGTTGTATGCTGATCATGCTCAAAACACTCTGACCCTTACTAGGTGTTGTTTAATCATTTTAGTTGTCAGCATTGAGGAATCTTTTCAAGCAGCCATAACTTGATGTGGAGTTTTTAAAGTTGTGTGTGTAATTTTTTTAGTAAAACATTTCTTAGAATTCATAGAAACAAAGAAACAAGCCATATGCTTTGGCCCTTTTAACTTTCTTAATTGTATGTCCCCGAATTGAGATTTTAAGTAAATTTACTTTTTGTCCCATTCATTGAGGATTTATTCCTTGACATTCTTGGATTTAGCCTGTGGAGTTACCACTGGTCTTGGCTGATGCTGAGGTAAAAGATACACGGACATTTTATTATTAAAAAAATTTGAATAGTGTTTCACTTGACTAATGAAGGGACCCAGCTTCACAGCTCACAGTAGCTCTGATTAAGTGATACAAACAATATGTGTTTGGGGGGATTTTGTTTGTTTATTTTTTTTGGTAAAGGAAGCTAATGACAAGTGCTCATGATGGAAATAAACAGTTTCTCCTAGCACGGTAGTTCTTATTTAGAAAATTGAAATTTTAGATGAATCAAAGGATAGACTCCTTAAGGCTCTTCAGAAGGGCTGCTTGCATTTTTCAATTATATTTTACTGTATTTAGGTGTATTATTTGTTATTCACAAATTTAAAAATTTAGATCGCTGCTAAATCTACCTCTTTTTCTAAAAGATGCTTTTAGCCCGTTGCTGATACTGAATGAGTCAAGTGTTTAGGGATTAGTATAGTTCTGAGGAAGCTCGGGTACAAAGGTTCTGCTTCTCTAGCAGAAAGTGACTAAGAGGATGAAATGCTTATATAAAAATTAATTACATTTCCTGCTATATCTGGTCTCTCCCCGTGTCCATACCCCTGAGAGCCTAGTTTTGCATATGTAGCTGTGGAAAAAAGATGGATGAGCTGAAACTCATTGCTATTCAAGATTATGACCCAACGGTAAAGAATGATAGAGTTTCTAATAAGACGATAGGGATAATCTATTTTCACATATTACAGACCAAAAAAAAAAAAACAAAAGACATGTTTGGGGCCGACTGCTAGTTAGTAACAGAGTTAAGAGCAGAACACAAGTGTTCTACCTGAGCTCTCTCAGTCTGATGGTCTGGCTTCCCATTTCTACTACCTCTTGTTATAAACGCTGTCTGATTTGTTTCATGAAGGTACCAACCAACCAGTTGCCGTCAAGTCGATTCCAACTCCTGGAAACCCCATGTGTGTCAGAGTAGAACTGTGTTCCATAGGGTTTGCAATAGATAAGTTTTCAGAAGTAGATCACCAGGCCTTTCTTCCGAGGCCCCACTGGGTGGACTCAAACCTCCAAACTTTTGGTTAGCAGCCAAGCACGTTATCCATTTGGACCAGCCGGGGATACGTTATGAAGGATGAAGGTGGTTAAAGTAGCTTCTACAAGTCCATGAGCATTGTTATATGCTTATGAAACTTCAGGTCACTTTTTTTTTTTTCCTGGCTCTTACTCTCTTCTCCACACTAGACCAGCACCTTATATCTGTGGCATCTCATAAGGTGACCTGGCCAAGGTTCAGGTGGCCAGAAGAAAAGCTCATTCTTGTGGTACTGGTAGTGAGATACTCTCTCCAAGTACTGAGAGTCACATGAGAACTTGTGACAATATCTGAGATATAAAGGGGGCTAGAATATGTGTATTCAAGATGTTTTGTACTTAGTAAGTCATAGCACTCGAGCGTAACAACGATTATGAGCATGGCGCAGGACCAGGCAGTGTTTCGTTTCGTTGTATGTAGGGTCGCTATGAGTCAGAACTGACTCGATGGCACCTAACAACAACAACAAGTCATAGCAAGAAACCTTGACCGCACAGTGGTTAAGAGCTACGGCTGCTAACCAAAAGGCCGGCAGTTCGAATCTACCAGGCGCTCCTTGGAAACCCTATGGGATAGTTCTGCCCTGTCCTATAGGGTCGCTATGAGTTGGAATCAACTCGATGGCAGTGAGTTTGGTTTTTTGGAGGTCATAGCAAGGCACCATGGTAGCAGTATGCAAAACACATAGGCCTCAAATTGAGACACATTTTGAATGCATACTTAGAAGTTTAACCATACTTAAGTGCCATTTTAAAGCTAAAGGCCTCCTTAAGTACAGAAAATAAGCCCTCTACCTTTAACTGTCCTGATGTATACATGTGTTTAATGTTCTCTTCTTATATGGCAAGTTTCAATGACTGTGGCTATTTTATATATTTCAGAAAGCTGTTGACATGCTTTTGGATAATGAAGATAAAATTTCAGTGAGTACTTTTTGTTTTTATGGATGTTACCGGATGAGTGTTCGGGACCACTAAGCCATAGAAAAGAAAGATGTTTATCAGATAATTTTGCAGCTTCGTTTCTGTCCTCATAGCTCTACATTTGAAATATTCTTTTTTTCTATAGATTAAAAAGGTCGTGGAAGAATTAGAAGACAGACCAGAGTTTCAGCATGTGGTGAGCATGACAGTCATCTTTTGCCTCTTTGACTGATTATTGAGCAGACCAACTCCCAGTATTGGTGTCAGCATGTTGGAGTGGCCTCCTCAAGGAGGTTAATATTCGGATTGGAGATTTGCCCACAAACAGTATTCTACAGTTATTAAAATGGGGCGTATGCCATGCATCTGAGGCCAGGGATTAATTACAGATCAGGCACTTAAATTTCAACTCACAGTTCAATTGCAACAACAAAAAGAAATCATCACATTCATTACTGTGGTATCACACAGTGCCCAGGATTAAGTACCTTTCTTCTGTCGTTACCATTAAATGTAATTATGATGTAGCCGAACCGATTGCTGTCTAGTTGATTCCGACTCATAGTGACCCTGTAGGACAGAGTAGAACTCCCCCATAGGGTTTCCAAAACTGTACATCTTTACAGAAGCAGACTGCTGCATCTTTCTCCTTCGGAGCAGCCGGTGGGTTTAAACTGCTGACCTTCTGGTTGGCAGCCAGACACTTTAACCACTGCACCACCAGGACTCCTTTTAATTATGGTGTAAATCACAGCAAAAGCCAGTCCCCTGATATGTGCACTACAGATATTAAGTTCTCACGTCAGGGAAGTACCACACAACAGATCCAGGTCTGGGACCACAGAATGATAAGAGCTGAGCCTCACTTTTTATCCCCTACCCTGACAGTAGCTAATCTCACTTCCCCCTGTGATCTTGGTGGTTGTGCTATTTGAGGCCCATTATTCTGGATTTCCGGGGGTTGGGGAGCAGACTACTTTGATTCTCTGCATTGTTATCATCCTGGTAATAAAGGAAGAGTAGATGTTTTCTATATCCTTTAAAAATCCATACAATAGAGGCCTTCAGTGGAAGTAGGGATTGTACCAATAGGACTAGGGGTGTTGAACACAGTGAGTGCACTTGTATCTTTGTTTACCTCTTTGCACCCAGGAGGAGGCTTAGGGAATAGAGGATTTTCTTTGAATGTCAGTTTTATACATGAAGCTTTTGAAGACTCCAGGATAGACGTGGGATTCTCATTTTGATCAAGGGTTGTTCAGGTGCTATTACTGTATTGTTAATGCTCGGCAGTCTCAAGATTACTTGCTTACCCAAGCAAGGCTGTGCTGTGCTGGCCACCTTGGGAATGCATTTATAAAGCAGTGGTTTCTGGCCTACTTAAGCCATGAGGCAGGATTATGAGCAGTAGGTGTTTATGTGACGGTGTAATTACCACTGTGGTGCAGTGGTGGCAGGGCCTACACTGAAATGGCTCATCTCCCTAGTCAGCCAGTGTAATGTCTCTATAAATTCAACCTGACTTCCTTTCTTGTTTGTGCTTCTGGGAAACAGCACCATGTATCATAGCTGCAGTGCAATAGATTGCTTTTATATGGCCTTTCTAGCTCTGGTCTTGTACCTTCCACCAAAAGATTGGGTGGGACTATGCAGATAAGGTGCTTATAGCCTACCAAGACGATTGGACCGTTTGCTAATAGTACAAATAAGGTGAATTGTGGGGGGTGGGACCATGCAAATAAGGTGTATGGAACCCTAACAAGGGAATTGGTCAGTTTTGCCATCGTAGCTAGGTTTAAAATGAACCATCCCAGAGGCAGAAGGTGGGGACCTACCTCACTACCACTAAGAAGAAGAGATGGGAGCAGAACACATTCTTTGGACCTAGGGTCCCTGTACTGAGAACCTCCTAGATCCAGGAGAGAGAGACAGAGAGCTGTAACATCAGAGACGTCGCAAGACAACGAGAAGCAGTGGCAGAGAAACAGCGGCAGCAGAACCAGGAGACAGGCATAAGACTGTGCAGGCTTCCCAGCCATGGAGCAAGGCAGTTAAAGTGGATGTGCTGACCCACAGATCGAGAGCTGAGAGCCTTCAGGCCGGAGGCTTCCTGGTGGAATGGGGTGCCTTTGGGCACTTTTGGTGCAGCTAGGCTTGCCGACCCATGACCCATGGAGCGAGAGCTGAATGCCTTCAGGGAGGAGGCTTCCTGGCAGAGTGGGATGCCCCTGGGCACTTGCTGGCGGAGCTAAAGAGCTTTGTAACTCTTGCCCCCTTGGAAGAGGCTGGGCCGAGGGGCTGAGGCCAAAGGACAGAGAGAAGTCTACCTGTGGGCCCAGCTGAGAGGAAGCTGTCCTGTCTTTCTCAGCCTGAGTGGTAACCTGTTACTTGCCTATTAAACTCCATAACTGTGAATATGGTCTTAGAGTTCTGTGTGACCATCACAATGAATTATTGAACCCAGCAGAGAAGTAAAGAGTGCTGTGGGAGGTACGACTGGTGTCACAGTTGGTCAAAAGTTTGGAGGGTAGAAGTGTGTCTGATCTCTGCTCATAGGAATCGGCTTTGAGCTGTTGATGCTGATGATGATTCTTTCTCCTCCTACTTGTGAAGTTAGACAAGGAGGTCTGACCCCGCCCTCAGGCACTATTGTTACAACAGCCCATGGTGGACCCCAGAGTCAGGGGATGGACAGGGCCTTTCATCAGACCAGCATGACTATGTGTGAGCCTCGGTCCACAGATGAGTTGAGTGTGACTACTCTGACCACCTCTTTTTGCCTTAGGAAGATGTGGACATTTAACCTGAGGAGTGGTTTCTTAATGTGTATATGTCATGGTTAGGCCTGACCCAAGCCATGGTGCTTTCAGTCACCTCATATGCATGTGAAAGCTGGACAATGAATAAGGAAGACCGAAGAAGAATTAATGCCTTTGAATTACGGTGTTGGCGGAGAGTGTTGAATATACAATGGACTGGAAGAAGTACAGCCAGAATGATCATTAGAAGGAAAGGGTGGGGGGTCTTCATCTCATATACTTTGGACATGTTATCAGGAGGGATCAATCACTGGAAAGGGACATCATGCTTGGTAGTGGGTGAGCAAAACAGAGGAACATCCTCAACAAGATGGATTGACACAGTGGCTGCAACAACGGCCTCAACCATAACAATGATTTTGAGGATGGCACAGGACCAGGCCCTGTTTCATTCTGTTGTACATAGAATGAGTCGCTATGAGTCAGAACCAACTCGCCGGCACCTAACAACAACAAGGCTTATTTAGTGGATGTATACAGTAGCAGGTGTTAAAATCAGCTAGCTCATTTATAATCACAGCTTCTGGGCTGTGATTATGAACTGAGGTACTTGGAAACAGCCACTCAAGACGTGATTAAGCTCTTCCTGCTTCCAGTGGCTTGTGGGGTTTTTGTTTATGTTTAACATTAGACACTGAACATCGATTTCTAACTTCTGTGTAGTATATTGATAGAGTTAGTCTTGCCTGCTGGTAGAAAGTAAATTACTCACTTCGTTTGAAGTCCATTAACTTTTCAGACAGCTAGGGTAAGAAATGTGTTTTGAAAATTGGTTCAAAACACCTGTCTTCTACCTGATTTTTACTCCTGTCTACCTGCTGATGAGTTAACATTGTTAACATTGTTGCTATTTCCACTTATTATTCCTTAACTGGTTTGTTTTTGATGTTACTCGTATAGGCAGCATTTCATTGCAAGCACGGATACCAGTAAGACTTAACAGAGAGGAGATGCAGAGTGGATGAACACGAATGTAACACTTGCTGCTTGAGTTTTTAAGAGCTGTACTTATCACATGACTCTACCTTCTTTCATGTAAAAAAACTTTTAGGACCTAGGAAGACCACTAACCTCACATATTTGTTCTGAGGTGAAGCAGATAATGACAGCATTAACAACTATTACTATCAGCATATCTATAGTGCTTAATGTTTGCCAGGCAAAGTTGTGAATGATTTACAAACGGTAGCTCATGTAATCTTGACAACAGCCCAATGAAGTCTTTGCAGATATGGAAACAGAGTCACAGAGAACTTAGTGATGTGCCCAAGGTCACATGGTTGGTAAGTGGTAGAGCTAGGTCACTGGTGCTGTTCTAGAATGAACATCAGAATCTTGCCCCCTGAAGGCATTCTCCTTTGCACTTCTTCTTTATCTTCAGATGGCTTTTCAAAGCTGCTTCTGCCTGACCACTCACAAAAGCTGTTTAGAACTGAAAATAACAATGCTACCTGGGTATTCATTTTCTTATTTAAATCTTCACGGTTTATCCTTTGTTCCTTTTAGTATTTGCATAAGCTTTTCAAGAGAGACCATCATAAGGGGCAGCGCTACCATGAAAAACAGATCAGCCTTTATGCAGAATATGATCGACCGAACTTACTTCCATTTCTCCGAGATAGCACCCACTGCCCACTTGAAAAGGTAAGTCACTGACTCCCCAATTTGTACACATTAGGTTAAAAAGCTGTTGCTGTTGGAACCCTGTTGGTCATTCTAGTCCTCCAATCTCTGCTCATCTACCTCTGTTCAAAGGGAAGACTGTTTCTTTCAAAGCAGTAGGTTTTGCTGGGATGTTTTGATGAGAAGTGAAGGTCCTGTTTGATTCAGTTTGGGTGAGGAGCTCAGGCACATCTGTGACAGGCTTAATTGGAATAAAGGTTTACTCCAGGGTCTAGGACTCATAATCAACCCTTAGGGGAAAAAATCATCAGGAGTCTGAGTCATGTACCAGAGTCACAGTAGGACTGCAGAGCCAGGGCTGGTGTCCACAGTCAGAAGCAGTTACTCTGGTTGGGAGTCAGGTTTGCTCAGCCAAGGTTGATAACTTAGGCCCTGTACCCTGTCTGGTTTAAATACCCACCTTGTGTGTTTCTCTGTATTTCTCTGTCTGACTCCTTTCCACTATAATTTTCTTAGTCTCTCTTTCCCACTATCCTGTAAATTCTTCAAAAACAAGGAGCTTGTCTTACTCATTTGGTAAACCCAGTACCCAGCACACATTAGACACTTACTAAATGTGCATAGTGAGTGAATGAATGCATAAATAAATGCACATAAGAGCCTAGTTAGGGCCAAATATGGACCAGTTAGCTTTATAAGGCTGCTGTTTCAAAGTAAACTGATACTTACTATGTACATACTTGGGTAACTGGGCAGTCTGAAGGTCAACAGTATTGTTTTCCATAGTTCTTGATACCACCTGGAATGCTGTCTAACATCTACAAATGTCCTACTAAATTCAGATGGCCAGATAACGAATATTTTTTAGTCAGTCTTCAATCAAACAAGAAAGCATATTTGACCTTAAGGGATATGTATAAAGACATTGATTGATGACCTGCAATCTGTGCACATTCACAGCTTTTATAGTTGCTTCAAAGCCTACAGTTTATGAAAAATTATCTTACCTGAAAATTTATGAAAAAATCAGCATTTTATATTTGGGGCCCTAAGACATTTTTTAAAGAATGAACTTAGGAATACGTTGTCGTTGTTGCTGTTAGCTGCTGTCAGGTCAGCCCCCAGCTTATGGTGACCCCATGCGTAACAGAATGAAACACTGTGTGGTCCTGAACCATCGCTATGATGGGTTGCAGATCAGACTGTTGGGATCCATGGGGTTTTCATTGGCTGATTTTCGGAAATAGATTGTGAGGTCTTTCTTCCTAGGAATACATCGCTTTACTCTAAAAGTAAAAGCAGCTATTCTCCTCTTCTATCACTGAAATCTTATAATCCAGAAAAGGAATGATGGTCTTATTCTTTGAGCAGTGCTCTCTTGTTTGTATCTCATCTTTTGAGGAAATATCATTTGCTGCCAGAAAGGACATGGCTGTCCCCACTCGGCCTCCCCAGACAGAGCTACGCACGCATTGGCAACTAACAGCCATCCTGCGCTCAGTTTCCTTGGTCACTAAACACAAGATGCAGAGGAAGAACACTCTGGATTCCAGTATGTTTGTGTACCTCATGCACTGTCAGCCCATGCTGGTTTAAAGTTTTCAGATCTATCCCTGCGCAGCAGAAGGCGCACTACTTGACCCAAAAGGGGAACATTCAGAAAACTGCAGTCCTGCACATGTCTCAGGAGTCCTGGGTGGCACAGAGGTTAAGCACTTGGCTTAACCCACCCAGAGGCATCTCAGAAGGAAGACCTGGCAATCTGCTTCTAAAAGATCACAACCTTAAAAACCCTATGGAATGCAGTTCTACTCTGTACACATGAGGTCACCATGAGTTGGAATCGACTCAGTAGCAAATAGTGCAGCTGATACAGGTCCATGGTTCTTCTCACACATAGAACTTATTTAGAGCCTTTGGGTAGAACTTTTAGATTTTTTTCTCTGCTTCTTTGAAAACAACAAATAGCATATAAAAGAACACAACGCAGGCATCCTGAAACCAATTATGTTGTAAACACAGTTGTGGTTTTGTAAATTCTCCTGCTTTCTACTGAAAGATTAGATATAGTTATGGTGGAAATGGCCATCATGAAGTATCAAGTCAATAATCCACATTTTTAGAATTCCTTAAATGGGCTTTCATGTTACAGATCATTGAGATTTCTTCATAAGAGATTATTCTTTGTCAGTGATTCATTGTGAGAAGCCTGTATTGTTGCAGAAAACATCGCGCTGTATCTTTGCTGAGATACCCAAAGCTGTCTTAAAGGGAATATTCATGACCTATTAACTCATGATGGATCTCCTTCCTTTTTCTTTAGAAACAGGGCTTCTCTTTACACTTAATCATTTTAGAAGCTAATTCCTTTTATGTTTACTTGTAACATGCAAACACTACCATATGTACCAATTCATGAATAACAAGTGGATTTTTTCCCAGTTAAACACATCCCAAGTATGCTAGCAGCAAAGTGAAAGTCATGGAATACAAGCTGACATTTTTTTGCCTAAAGAGGGACTCATAGAAAATGTGATCTTCTTTTGTATTGAATATAAAATTAAGAACTTTAAAATTTTAATGCCGCCCCCCCTCCCCTGCCAAAGAGATCTCCACTTCAGAAGAGTTTGTAAGTTATTTAGCCCTATGGATGCTGAAGAGGATTTTGGTGTTTGTTTTATTTGAAATGGGAAATGTTTCAAGTTTCAAAGTAAGTTATCCTGAGTGTGGTGACCCACTATTACTGATAATTCAATTCTGGCAGAATAACAGCTATGCCTTCCTCATTTCCAGTTGTCTGCCTTTGCCGGGATGGGTTAACTGTTGAGAGGAGGAAAGACTGCAAACTGGCAACTGGTTGAAACCTCCACAATCGATAGTATTTGGCCAGAAACTTTGTAGAGACTCTGATACCACATCAAAAGCCCTTTAGGGACATGGTTATCAGAGGCCAGAGTTCAGGATTTAAAATCACCATAATTCTGAAATTCAAAAATTAATCATAAGCTTTTAAGAATTTTTCATTCTAAAGGAGATACAGAGTTTGAAGGAATTCATAATACCTATAGTCAGAATAGACCGAACAGTAACAGGTTTGGGTTTTTTTTTGGTTTTGTTTCGTTCTTTTGTAGCAATTAACGAAGCCCTGGTGGCACAGAGGTTAAGAGCGTGGCTGCTAACCGAAAGGTCGGCAGTTTGAATCCACCAGCCACTCCTTGGAAATCCTGTTGGGCAGGTCTACTCTGTCCTGTAGTGTCAGTATGAGTCAGAATTCAGTGGGTTTGGTTTTTGGGTTTATAGCAATTCAAAAAGAATAAAAATCCTTTATATTTCTGTAGTGGTTTATAAAACATGGTATGCTTTCAAGTACCTCATTTCGTTTAACCTCTACAAAAGTGCAGTAAGGTGGGCAGAGTCGTTTTATACACAACAGGCTGAGTTTTAGGGAGGTAAAAGAAGCAGCCTAAAGCGCACAGTTAGTTAGTTGAGGGGCCGAGACTCAGAAGCTGGCTCTCTTAACTTCAGTTTCATTTTTGTTTCCTCTATGCCAAGGAATCATTTTTCAGCTTTAAAATATTAATCAAAATACTAACGATAACAACCACCATAATAAAGGTATCCCTTAGTGCGAGAATCCTGAGGAACATAATTCTTTAAACAGTTAAACTGTCCTTTCTACTGTCATTTCCAAGAGTGGTCATCAGGCACTGGTTTTCGTTTTGCAAGTCTGATTTGCTTATGCCTAGAGGAGGTAGAAACTAACATTATAGCTTTGGCAAATTTATACCTGGGTTTATGATCTCTTATATCTAATGGCATTCACAAGGTGACAGTATTTATGAATGTGGAGGAATAAAGCTGGGAAACCTAAAGTTTATAGATATTCATTAAAGAAATTTAAGAAGATTAGATAAAAAAGATGCTGGGGCCAAGGCTGGGTAGAAATCGTTATTTAATTTACCATTGATGAAGTTCTTACTAGTTACCCTACAAACTTCTAACTATTCCCTACCTTTATACTAAATCAGGAAAAGGAGGATTAAAATATTATTTTTACTCATTGTCTTTATTCTGCTAGTTCACTTTTATTTTTATTACCGTTTTCTTTTTCTGTATGTCTTGAGTCTACCTGTGTATATGAGTGTGTGCGTCTGTGTGTGTCTGTGGGGGGTGAGGGGGAGATGTTCTGTTGACTTTAAAAATCTGTTTCCCTTCTCTTTCCTCTAGAGGGAGCACTGTGACCCAGAACATTTAGGAATCTAAAATAAGGAAACTGTTTTTATGCCTCATTTATGGCAATAATAGGAAAATCTTATGAACTAGAAATACTGTCATTTTATACTTTACTCAAGACTCCTAGCATTCTCTGGAGTCTCTGTTTTTTCATTTATGAGATGAGGGTAATTTTAAGATACTGTTAGAAATTAGTTGTAAAACATTTTAAAATCTCTGCAATTCAAATTTCCGAGGCTCAAATGAAGTTTAAGCTTGATAATACACATCTGCTTGCATTCCAGACCATTCTTGACTTCAAACTTGCTTTCAGATAGTCTTTTCCCACGTGGATTGTCATTTTTGATAGTATCATCTAAGAGCTTAGAGCAGCAGTGTCCTATAGAACTTTCTGTGATGATGGGTATGTTCTCTGTGCTGTCCAATGTGGTAACCACTAACCACATGTGGCTATTGAGTATTTGAAATGCAGCTAATGTGACTGAGGAACTGAATTCTAATTATCTTTTATTTTAATTAATTTGAATAGCCTCATAAAGTAAGTGGCTACTGTCTTCGACAGCTCAGTTGAGGCTTCAAACTGCAAACTCTGTAGTTTGAGAGAAACATGTTTTCAGGCATTCTCATAGGTCTAAGAAAAGTGGGGACAGTTCTATGTGAAACTTTTGAGTGACGCTTTGAAGTGTCAGTAAATGCCCACGTATGAAACTTATTTATGAATACCTTTTAGTAATAAACTATTTTAAACAGTATAAATACTCACGTTTATTAAGACTACAGAAGTATAGTCAGGAGTGGACACTCCAAGAAATGCAGATTGTCTGAGGACTCAAAGTTCAAGAGGAAGAGCTAAAGACCAGTAATGGCCCTGCAAACCAGCCCCTTCATGCTCAGTTCTTTCAAAAGAAGGACTTTGTTGTCTCCCAGAATGTTTAGCACATCCAGGATCCAGTGGAGCAGGGATGGCTGAGGGTACAGAGAGTTTTGCCATAAGGACACCATAGGCAGGAGAGAACCATCAGGCAGCAGCACTGGTCCAGCTAAGCTCTCCCCTTCATGCTGCTTCCTGGATGTTTTCTTTCCCACTTTGACTTTCCCCTCTCCCCACTTAGTTGACTCTTTTTTCTCCTCTAATTAGAGTTTTTCAGTAGCTGGTCCTCAGACCTTTAGTCTTCATTCAGTGCGCTTCTTCATAGAATTCATCTGAACTAAGGACTACAATATGTCTATATCATTTATTCTTTGCTGCGTTATTTGTCCGTCCTGACTTTTATTTTCATGTTTCATCGACCCTACTCCTCCTTAACATACACTTCGACATTCCCAGCAGTCTGTGATGGACCTCCAAGCTTCCTGCATGCTGTATCTTTAGTAATCTTCCTTTTTATCACTCCCTTACTCATGATCTCTTGAGTAATTCCCCATTGCATGGACTCTTGGCCTCACTTTTACACTTGTTTTAAAGAATTGTAGAATATTAATATCAGAAGGGACCTTAAAAATATTAATCCAATCTCTCTCGTTTTATAGAACTGGTTATTAGTACAGTCTACATAACAACCTAGGTCAGCTGACTTCTAAATGAATCAAGTGCTTTTTCCAGTTAATTCATCACATTTCTTTTGAGAAACGAACAGACTTCTTGGCCTTTTTTTTTTTTAACTTAAGTTGTATCCAGGACCCCAGTCCTACTTTCCCCAGCCCCTTGGGCCCGCTGTCGGGTGACCCTCTGAACTAATCTGTCTCTCGTAAGCCCAGTGGAGTCCTGTTGTCCAAGCGTAGGTCTACTCTGAGGTTTGTTTCCCTGAACGCTAGTGACGGTTACTCTCTGTACCATCAGCCACTCAGTATTTATCATATGGTATTTTGGGTTTTATTTCTGCTGATAATAACATAAGTTAATGTTTGCTTGTGATTTGACATTTATAAATCCTTTTTTAGTTCTCTTATTTCATTCTTACAACAATTTAATTTCCTAAGTGCTTATTACTATACTATTCTTTTAACTTAAAAATACCCCCATTACAAATTAAGAAAAGAAGCTTGGAGAGGTGAATACCCCAGATGGATGGTGGTGCTGGAACTTTCACCCGACAACTGTTCATCTTTTAGTGTCTGCTCAGATATTGCCCTCTCCAGGAAGACGTTCCTGGAACACTTATCTTACTCCCTCTCTGCATCCTGCTGAGTTATAGACCCCTCCTTTTCCTTCTGTCTGTCTTCAAACATTCTACCTACCCAGTTGTAATTCAGTCCTCTGTTTATCTGTGAATGACACAGTCACACTAAACCATAAGTTATTTGTCTGTCTGTACCTCCAGCACCAAGCACAAATCCAAGCACTCGGTTACTCTATAATTATTTGTTGTAATAGTCCCAGGTCTGCTAACTTTGGATTTTTAGGTCTTTTACAATTTAACTTCTCGTATGTGTATCCTATCTCTTTGGGATAGTTTCACTGCAGAAGAGTAAAGGGTTGGTAAGAAAGTTTCATTGTTTATAATGATGAATAGACTGGCAAGATCATATAGGGATAGGTAAAGCATCAAAACGATTGAGGATTTCCTTAAGTGTTAGGATTGGGTTTAGCTACGAGTGCTACAAATCCCAAAATAGTAGTCGCTTAAACAGAGTACAGTTTAGTTCCCTGTCACATGGAAGTCATGGTGGATGTGGCATGTCACGGGGTCAGTGACCCAGGCCCTTTCTCTTCTTGCTCTACCCCATATGGTTTTGACCTTGTGACCCAAGATAGTGCCATCCATGTTTGCAGGAGCAGGTTGGATGAAAGTACTAAACTTAAAAAAAGCAAAGGGTTCACACACACTCAGTCTTAAGGTTCCAGAAGCCACATTTCTATTTCATCTGTTTGGTGACTTATGTCACATAACTCCTTGTCTACTGGACAGGCTGGGAGATGTTCTTTTGCTTTTTTTTTTTAAATTCTGGACAGTCACATACCCAGCAGAAGTCTTATTTCTCTGGAAGAAGTGGGAAAAGGCTATTAGGGCACAACTAGCTACCTCTGCCACATAATTTTTAAACTAATCTCGTGAATAATTGAATTAACACTTTTCCTCCACATCGTGACCTTCATTTATTCTCATTTCCTCATTTAAATATTGTATGCACTTTAAAACACTATCCTAATTTCATTACAATTCTAAAATAAAGTGTTTTTTTCTTTTTTAATATTTTTATTATCTTTTGCTATGCTGATCCCTACGATCAACATACTTTCTTCCTCTTTAGCTGTTAAGCACCAGTTAGATTTAAAATATATATTCTACCAAGAATTTTTAAGTCAAAAAACAAAATATCAAAACTAGCTACTGCTGTTGTTTCCCAAGATAAATCATTGAGTCAGAAGAACTTGCTGAGAGCTTGTATTTCTCTTGTTTATCTCCTTGGTTCTTGTTTTTAAAACAACCTTAGCTGGTTGTTTTTAAATGACCACTTTAAACATGCAACTCATTACTCTTCCTCCTGAAACCTTGTCTGTGTGACCAGTTAAAAAAATGTAAATATATATTTATTACACACCTATTATGGTCAGGCTTTGTGCACAAAGCACCAGGCTTCGAACACGCATGGTCCCTACAGACAGAAATTCAACAAATGATTAGTTGAGTAGTTAGTTAATTGCAGTCATGATTAAGTGTTGTGAGGAAGTGTGCAGTTTGCAATGGAAGCACGTACCTGGGATCTGAAGCGGGTGAGGATTAAGGGCAACATTTCAGGCAGAGGGAATGCAGTATGTGTGACAGTGGAGTGATGAATGAGGTGTGAGATGAAGCCACAAGAGAAGGCAGGGCCAGATCATGATGCCTTGTAGGCCATGAAAAAGATTCCGGGCTTTAGTCTGAACAGAGCAACACAACAGCAAGGTTATGTAGAAGGGGTATGAGACAAAGTTTCCCTGTTGAACTCTTATTCGTCCTACAGCACCCGGGTCAGATGTCCCCTCTTTTATGAAGCTTTTCACACAGAACCAGACCAGATTTCAGTGTCCCTGTGCTAAGCAGTTGGCCCTCTGTTTAGTCTCCTCTGATTTTGCAACTGTATATTGTCACATCTCTGTCACCCTCCCTGGGCCCTCAGCTCCCTCAGGCAGGAAGTCATGCTGCTTCCACTTCTATGAAGTCTCCTTCCCTCTTCTCTGTTCTCCTCTTACACATCATCATTATTCACATCCTTATTATTGTCGTCTTTGCATCTCTATCCTTTCTTTCCCTCTAGTACCTGGCACAGAACATATAGTAAGCATGTGTCAATCATTTAGAATTGTTGGATTATTTATTTTAAAAAATAGTGTGTCTTTTTTTTTTTTTTTTTAACACCCAAGGAGATGCTGTCATCTGTGATAGTTCCTCATTTCTTTACGTGAGATGTGATCTCCTCCCTTTTGATCCTTCTTGGATCAAATGAGTCAGATGTATTTTTTCCTTCTCACTTTTGACAAATCTTTGAGCAGAGTTCTTTTTTAAACCCTGTGAGGTGATTATAGAAATACCCCTAGTAAATTTATTTATTTATGCAACAAATATTTATTGAGCATTTGGTATGCTCGGTCCTGGGAAAAAGTGACCCTGAACAAAGCAATGTTCCTCCCTCTTTTCATGGAGCTCATGTTCTAGTGGGGATGGACAGCATAAACCAACGCCTCTATTTCAGGTAGTGAGAGGTACTGTGAAGAAAACTGAAGTATCATGAAGGGAGAAAACGTGATGGAAAGCCCATTTTCTCAGCACCTTGCTTTCTGCCTTTGCTCATGGAATGTTCCCAAGTTGGTTCAAATCTAAGTCAGCTGCTGTTATCAGCTAACATTATTTTTAACTGATTTCTGTGAGGTCTAGTACCTCTTCTGAGAGGTGCATGAGTACAGCCACCAGCAAGGCCAAAGGAGCCGTGTATGTTGTTTGCTTACTTTGCTTTGAAAGGAAAGTAGTGGAAAAAATTCTTCCAAGCTTATACGTTTAAGTGACTCTGCTAATATTTATTCTTGTTTGGTAACCCATATTAACGTTTTTACCCTGCTTAATTGAAGGCTCTTGAGATCTGTCAGCAGAGAAACTTTGTGGAAGAGACAGTTTATCTTCTGAGTGAGTAGCTTCTGTTCATTTTGCTCCCCATAAATTGAGAAATGAGGTGACATAGTGATGTAAGTTGTATAAGAATGGGCATAGGTTTGAGACCAAACTAACACAAAGAGTAGGTCCTATTTTGTACCAGAATTTAATACATGAAAAAGAAGACTTCACAGAACAACGGGGACCTCAGCTATTTAATAAATACTGTTAAAACAACATATTAGCAATTTGTAATGAACAAAACTATCAGTCAGCACCTCAGAACATTAAAAAATTGTAAATGGGTTGAAGAAGCCCTGGTGGCACAGTGGTCAAGAGCTCAAGCTGCTAACCAAAAGGTTGGCAGTTCGAATCCACCAGCCACTCCTTGGAAACCCTGTGGAGGCAGTTCTGCTCTGTCCTACAGGGTCACTATGAGTCAGAATCAACTCGATGACAGCGGTTATGAGTTTTAGATGGGTTGAAATGTGTATGTTCATTTTTTAAAATTATAATCGATACGTATTGCCATCATATTGGTAGAAAATAAATACCTTTGTTTCAAAAAATCATATCTAAAAATAACTGAACGAAATGGATTTGAATTTCAGAGTTTTAGAGAGAGAGTACCTTTTTAAGTGTAATTAGTCATTTCACCAGCATCGCTTCCCCTCTATGGTTTTTCCACTTTACACATTCCCCTCATACAACACTCGGCCTCAAGTGGCTCCTCTGATCTCTGCCATGAAAAATAATCCAAATCTTCTGTCCCAGTTTATGGATATGCAGATCCATGGATGCTCATCAGCAAACCCAGGACTATCCAGTCACACGGCCTGCCTTCTTTGGCAGAAAGTGCTTTAGGCACTATTCTGTTACTTGAGTTTGTTCTTGGGGTTCTAATCACAACCTCAAGCAGCTTTTCAGTTTACTTCTTCCAAACGAATACAGTGTTCCCCCAAGAAATATTCTGGTGGAGTAAATTTTTTTCTTCATGTCATTCTGTCTCAGGGGCAGTAGAGAAACTTATAAAGGGAGATATAGTCTGATTTTATGAAAATTTTAAAATCCTATACACATTTAAAAAAAATTAACCTATTTTTTAAAAAGACAAACTGGGGATAACATTTACAGCAAAAACAAAATACTATAGAAGTGATCTCCATTGAGATTTCATTTTATAATTCACAAGCTGCTGTGATCAGCTGGTAATGGCTGCCCATGGTGAGAAGGATCCTGAGGCCACGTCTGAGCTTCGTAAGGAAGAATGTGCAGATGCACATTACTAGTTCCTTCCACAGGCCAGGGAGCAGGGACAAGGGAATAGCATACAGCCATGCAGGTACTGGCCCTCCATAGAGTAAGACTTTCTACATGTAATAAAAACCAAAATTATTAATGTAAATGTTAAAATGCCAGCAGATCAATGAGCAAAGTGTGTAAAGGTAATCACTAAGTAGAAGCATAGTTGTTAAATATTCTCATGTCATAAGAGTTACTATAAGGCTTTCCCCTGAACTTGGGAGAGAAGGGAGTAGGGTAGACTTCTAGTCATTAAGTTTGCAGTCGCCACAAAGTGTATCAGAGAAGCCACGTGCAAAGCCACCTGACGGGGCAGAATGGCTCCAAAGCCTTTAAGTCTTAACCTTATCGGAGTGTTAAGCTATGAACATCCAAAAGAAATATAGGTCTGTGAGATGGAACTTGGAATCTGATACCCTGGGTTCTAATTCCAACTCTACCATTTAGTAGCTATATGATCTTCCTGACATTTCTATTTCCTCTTCTGTAAAACAGGAACATGAATAGTATGTTTTCATAGGATTATAGTGGTAACTAAACAATATAATTCATATGAAGCACTTAAATGACTACTCAGCACAAAGTAAACACCCAGTAAATAGAAGTTATTTATTTGCCACTATTTATAGATGGTAAATGTTAATGCTACAAAGAAAATATTCTTTTGCTTAGCTTTCAAACTGTGTCAACAAATTAAAAGATACGTTCTTTCATTTAAAAAATTTTGTTAAAATATCATAAATGAAGTTTTTCTTGCATTTGCATCCTGCCTAGGCCGAATGGGTAATAGTCGGAGTGCCCTGAAGATGATCATGGAGGAATTACATGATGTTGATAAAGCGATTGAGTTTGCCAAGGAGCAAGATGATGGAGAACTCTGGGAGGATCTGATTCTATATTCCATTGACAAACCACGTAAGCAGAAAAGCCATCTACAATTATAACTTTTCTCACCATAGCCAATCAGATCTAGGGTAAGAATTTTTATAAGACATGATGGGCCAAAAATACGGTGAAGTATCTACAGTAACAAAAGGTCAGGTGCATTGTAACGATTTCCAGTATTTCTCCTGTGTCAAGAAGTCTGGAGCCTCATCTCTTTGCATTAGCTGAACATGATAAAGAACCTGATAATATTAAGTGTATCCCCATGAAGTATATTTTTGCCTACAGCAACCAAATTGAATAAATGTCATCTGGGTTGGGTGTTTTTGTTATTGTTTGTACACAGGGGACATTTATTTTGGAAGTGTATAGCTCTTACCAGTCTCTCTTTATGGAAACATATAACAGTTGGATGTTTGCTATTGAGTATTTGGTCTCTCTTTCCTGCCTCTGTACTACTGTAGGCACCAGGAGTTTACATTTGTTCTTTGTTGACCCTCAGCTTGACAATTTACGTTGAGTCTCCCATTTTGGAACGAAAACAAACAAAAGCGGTCACTCTGACAGTAACCCAAGTCCTTTTTCGAAAGTACAGAAATGATTCAGAAACTAGCTGTAGGAGTTTTAAATCCCACCCCCCTCCATTTTTTTAGAAGGGAGGTTTATCTCTTTTAAGATTTGCAAATTCTAGAAACTTCTTTTGTGATTGTCTTTTTTAGTAGAGATACGAGAGGATAATGTCATTAATGTCCATATCAGATTAAGGTAGTTACGTATTTATCTGGGAATCTAGTTTTGCTTGATAAGATAGTAGTTTATGGATCTTAAAGCAGGTTGTCTTAGTCATCTAGTGCTGCTATAACAGAGATACCACAAGTGGATGGCTTTAACAAAGAGAAGTTTACTCTCTCACAGTCCAGTAGGCTACAAGTCCAAATTCAGGACATCAGTTGCAGGGGAATGCTTTCTCTGTTGGCTCTGGAGGAAGGTCCATGTCATCAGTCTTCTCTTGGTCGGGGAGCTTCTCTGTATAGGAACCTCAGGTCCAAAGGACACGCTCTGCTCCCAGCACTGCTTTCTTGGTGGTTTGAGGTTCCCATGTGTTTCTGCTTGCTTCTCTCTTTTGTATCTCAAAAGAGATTGGCTTAAGACACTGTCCAGTCTTGTATGCCTCATGAGTATAACTGCTGCTAATCCACTGTATTAGATCATAGTGACTGAATTTACAACACATAAGGAAGTCACATCAGGTTACAAAATGGTACCCAATTATACAATACCGGGAATCATGACCCAACCAAGTTGACAGATATTTTGGGGGAACACAATTCGTGACAGAGGCAAAGTGGGTGTAATGAAAAACATCAACTTTAGAACCTAACCTGGGTTGGAATTTGGGCTCATTACTTTACTGGCTATGTGACCCTGAATAAATTAGTTAACCACTCCATTTCCTTTTTTCTGTAAAATGGGGACAAATAGTATTTCTACCTTGCAGAATATTGAAGAAAAGTGTTTAATAGCTGACCTATAAATACTAGTTGCAATAAATTTTAGTTGTACCCCCTTGACATTGCAGACTGTATACTGAAGATAAGTAATCACTTGTTCTCGGAGTGTTTTTAAATTTTTGTCATTAGCTTCTCTTTTATGTCATAAGGAAAGTAAAGGAAGATTAGTTTTTGAGAGTTTAGAAGCTCAAATAGTTTTAACACTTAATTTTAAGGAAACTTTCTTTTCTTTGAGTTGTTTTTGGCCTAAAATTGTATTATATGCATTGCTCCTATGTTCATTGTTTTATGTGGTATTTCTGTAGCATTTATTACTGGCTTGTTAAACAACATCGGCACACATGTTGACCCAATTCTCCTGATTCACCGTATTAAGGAAGGAATGGAGATTCCCAATTTGAGAGATTCTTTGGTTAAAATTCTACAAGACTACAATTTACAGGTAAGTATACTTTCTTGGACAAATGAGCATGGTAAGTAAGTTGATTGACTGCAGGGTGAACATTTCTAGGGTTTATATTAGATATCTGTTGATGGTTTTATTTTATGTTGGCCAAGATATTTAGAAAACTGTTCAAATAGAGAAACTAGAAATATCACCCTTTTAAGGAAGCCATCTGATTCTTTGCCTATCTCTAAATTTTCCTTCCTTGTAGAGCAGACGTTCTTACACCTAATTTTTCTGGTGAATTCACCATGGCACTGGGGAGGGTGTGGGAGAGTGTCTTAGTCATTTAGTGCTGCCGTAACAGAAATACCACATGTGGATGGCTTTAACAAAGAGAAATTTATTCTCTCACAGTCTAGTAGGCTAGAAGTCCAAATTCAGGGCGTCAGCTCCAGTGGAAGGCTTTCTGTCTCTGTCGGCTCTGGAGAAAGGTCCTTGTCATCAGTCTTCCTCTGGTCAAGGAGCTTCTCAGTGCAGGGACGCCAGCTCCAAAGGACCCACTGTTCTCTGTTTTCGGGGGACACAATTTAGTCCATGACAGAGGGATGATGGTGGCTATTAGATCTTAATGAGTATTATGTCTATTTGGGGTAATAAAAAAGTATTTTTCAGAAAGTTTGATAAGAATAATGGAACCCATTATTTTCATTAAATAATTAATAAGCTAATTATAAAACATCCTAATCTTTTCTTTAAAAGAACTCTAACAATTACTGTTTTTCAGTATGCTGGTATCTTGTATGGATCTTAAAGCTATTTAAAGCACACTTCCTTAAAAATTCAGACTGTTCTTCTTTCTCTACTTCATTTGAAAATGAGTTCTTGTTATAATACTGATAAAATTGCTTTCCTGGAAACACGAAAACCTTTGCAGGTAAAGCCAGAAAATGAGGTTGTAGGGGAGAGGAGTAGTTGCCAGGGTAAGTAAGGAGGAAGCATTTTGATGAGAATTTGTTGGGCCAGTAGTCACTGTGAAGGGTGAAGAGTAGAGGGCTGCCTGCTGAACTCAGGGTGACAGTCTCAGGGAAGAGGCAAGGTGAAAAGAGAATGCAGCGAAAACCAGAGCAGAAACAGTTGAGGAAGAAACAAACAGAGGTCACCATGTTCTCCAGCCAAAGGAGAAGAGCAGCTCAGGGACATTGCCATTTAGTGTTCTGAGAGCATTTCTTTGGATTATGCAGCTCATCAGTAAACAGTTTGAGCTTGACCACAAATATATACAGTATATGTGTTTATTCTTAAGTTGTGTATTACCTCTAAACAAAGATACGCATTATAAAGCACATACAAAGATATAAGTCATTTTAGGATAAAATAAACAATGTTAAATTGCTTTCTCTTATAATTTAGAAAACTCAAAACACTTTTTGCGCTCACTCAAACATTTTTAATTTTCGTACTGTGATTGAGTAAACTCTGTTTTTTAAAATATTGTTTAATTAACCCTTTGTAATCCACCAATGAACCAACCAGTTGCCTTTGAGATGATTCTGACTCATGGTAACCCTATGTGTTTCAGAGTAGATCTGTATTCCATAGTGTTTTCATTGGCTGTAATCTAAGAAAGTAGATAGCCACGCTTTTCTTCTGAGGTACATCTGGGTGAATTCAAATCGCTAACCTTTCGGTTGGTAGCTGAGTGCTTAAAAAGATTTGTTTTAAAGCCAATATTACCTTTGCCCGTAGCTTTTTTTTTTTTTTTTTTACATATTATTACTTTTTTTTTGTTTATTGTTGTAGTTTAAATGAAGTTTACATTTCAAGTTAGTCTCCCATACAAAAATTTATACACATATTGTTATATGCTGAGACCAGAAGAACTAGATGGTGCCCATCTACCACAAATGACCTCCCTGATGGAGCAGGAGAAAGGTGGGGTGCAGAACTCAAATTCTAGTAAGAAGACCAGACTTAATGGTCTGACTGAGATTGGAGGAACCCCAGAAAGCATGGCCCCCGGATTCTCTATCAACCCAGAACTAAAACAGCCTCCAAGGCCAACTCTTCAGACAGGGATTGGACTGGACTGTGGGACATAAAGGGATACTCATGAGGTGTGTGCCTCTTAACTCAAGTAGATACAAGAGACTAAATAGGCAGCTTCTGTCTGGAGGTGAGATGGGAAGGCACAGAGGGTTAGGAGCTGCCTGTAGGTCTTTTGTTTTGTTTTGTCTGTTTTTTAAATAATTCATCATGCATTTGTTGTGATTTACTAAATGTTTTGGGTAATACTAAGCCCTAGGCTTCACAGGCAAATAATATTCGTTCATTCAACAAGTGTTTATTGGCACTTGCCAAGGGATAGAAACATAGCAATGAAGAAGATGGACAAGGCCCCTGCAGTCACAGAGCCCTTGGAAAGGCAGAGAAAGCAGACAGTTTGTCCAGTAACTGCCCTAAAGTAGGAGGAATTCTACCCTTGATTTTAATGGTCATCGTAGTGGAACAGTTATTTTACAAAGATCCACGTGGTAGTTACTGGCTGAATTTTTACTTTATAAGAGAGTTTAAAACCCAGTTAAAAATCACTTAGAAAATTAGGTATTTAATAATTTCTTCCAGACTTAATTGTACAAATGCAAACATCATTTTTAGCAACAAGACTATATAATGAGAACATTTCTAAACATCGGTTTTCAAAAAGATCTCTTCATAGTCTACTTTCTCTTTAAAAACTGTTACCTTCTTATTCGTTGTTTAAATGTCAGTTCTACCTTGACTATTACGTGGGTTTATTTATTCATCACTTAATATTTGTCAGGACATGTGCCATTGTTTTCTTGTTTATTTGTGGGTAGCCACTATTTTTACTGCATAATGTGTGTCAATAAAAGCTCAGCTAAGGGAAGGAGGAATACCAGCTCTGCCGCTGTCTTGTATTTTTTTGTTTTTGTTTTTTTTACATTTGCCTTACTGATTTTCAGGAATCTCATCAAGCCACCTGTTCAGTTTACAAGGACTGGTTTAATTTAAAACTTGAAAAAAATATATAAATCCTCTTAACTGGGCACACATGAACTGCACCATGTCAGAGTGCGCTGAAGCGGACAGAGGGCTGAGGCGCCTCGTCAGCCCTCTACGTGCTGGTCCCTGCTTCTCAGGGTACCTTGCCCCACACCAGGTGGGGGGCTGGTAGCAATCTGCATGTCAAAATATCAGTAAATTTACTGTTTTCTTTTCTTAAGGTTAAAATTACATAGAAAAATATTTTATTCCCATACCCAGTAGATATCGTTATGCACCCCTTAAAGCAACCACTTCCTAGAGGTTAAACATACAGAAAAAGACAAACCTCTGCAGTGTAGCTTTAACTGGGCCACTCCTTGTCTGTACTACCTCACCCCCCTCTTCCTATTGGCAGGAATCCTCCACTTGAGTCAGCCAAGCCCCTTACCAGTCCTCAAACACCCCTCTCGCTTTCATGGCCAGGTGGTTTGTACACACCGAGAATATTCTGGAATGCCAATCCAGCTCCTTCTTCTAGTTCAAGGTCTAATGTAAACTTAATTCAAGTCTGCCTCACTTTTTCTTTCTCTTTCATTTCACGTCTTTTAATTTCTGTAGAACTTTATGGAATACTTAGTCTCGAGGGATAAGGGGTGGTATGCGCTAGGCACTGTCCACTGAAGAGGAGATGTGAGAACAAGTGACTGCAGTGTAGTGCCATCTGCTGTGCATACACGGTGTGATGGGAGCTGAGGGGAGGGAGCAGTTAACTCTTACCCGCCAACTCCCAAAGCACTCAAGTGCACAAAGTGTATGAAAATTTAGGAAATTCTTGCCCCCTGGGCCCTGTTGTCGCTGTTAGCTGAAATTGAGGGGTTTGGGCAACAGGATGAGGAGAATGGTGCATAATTAGAATAAGCGCTAAAGGGAAGGTGAGAGTGGGCTGTCCAAGGACAAATAAAGATTGCTCATCAGTATTTATACATATATAAATCTGACTGGCCCTGATTTGGTAATAACTGTAGTCCTCCCGCAATTGACCAGAAGTCTCCCGCTGAGCTCAGCAGCCTCGGAGAAACAGAGAGAGCTTATCAGATGGGTTCAGGGTTAGGGAATCCAGTGGGAAAATTAAGAGGGTGATGAAGTTGAAGGAAGATTGATTATATCAAGAACAGAGTAAGGGATGTAGAGGAATAACAACTGGAGGGGCAAAAGATTTGCCAGGGAGTGGGATATCATCATATTAAAATTTCCAAAGTGGAATCATTGTGGCCATGTTAAAAGAGTGGAATGAAGGTCACTGGCGAGTATTAGTCAAGAAACTATGAGGCTACATCCTTGGATGAGTCGTCCAGATGGACATTGAGGATTGGAGTTGGGGTTGGGGAGGCTGTAAGCCAGGCTACAGCATTCTCAGTGAACCAGGATGTGAATCTGGTAGCCCACAGATGACTGCGGACCACAACTTTAAAGGAGGAGAGGTTATTCATGAAGGTGGGGTTGTCAGTAGGGCCTTGTGGGAAATAGGATCCTGGGAAATAAATGGGTATTCAGTTAAGACAAAGAAATGGAGGACCTATACTGCAAAAAGCTTAAAAAGATATACAGTTATTTATTTACAGTGGATTTTGGAGATCTGCAGTTGAGCCATTTGAAAGGTTATGGGAGGGAGAATAAGAAAGGCAAGGAAGGAAAGAGTGATATGGGGATGGGTTAATGGATGAGGAGATGTGGTTTGAGGAGCTTGTAAGTTGTGTAGCACCCCAGGGGTGCAGGACAGTGATCCAGGCATGGAATCAACTAATTCTGAGGAACTGGACTTTGGTGAAAGTGGTCAGACCTTACAAACCTCTGTGTGTGAGTGAGTCTGACAGTAATCTGTACTTTGTTGGCTCATAACACCCCTGAGTATGCCAGGTTATGCTTGAGGTTCCAAATACAGATGTGTTGAGCAGTCATGTAGGTGTCTCCAAACAACTCTGCCCCAAGGGGAATGACAAAATAATTACCCCTTTGTCCTTGGCCTCTAGCTTGGAAAATTTGCCTGG